GAAGAAGAAGAAGAAGAAGAAGAAGAAGAAGAAGAAGAAGAAGAAGAAGAAGAAGAAGAAGAAGAAGAAGAAGAAGAAGAAGAAGAAGAAGAAGAAGAAGAAGAAGAAGAAGAAGAAGAAGAAGAAGAAGAAGAAGAAGAAGAAGAAGCAGCAGCAGCTGGAAGGGACCTTGGAGGTCATCTAGTCCAACCCCCCGCTCAGGCAGGAAACCCTAGATCATTTCAGACAAATGGCTGTCCAGTCTCTTCTTAAACATTTCCAGTGTTGGAGCATTCACCGCTTCTGGAGGCAGGTGGTTCCACTGGTTAATTGTTCTAACTCTCAGGAAAATTTCTCCTTAGTTCTAGGTTGCTTCTCTCCTTGATTAGTTTCCATCCGTTGCTTCTTGTCCTGCCTTCAAGCGCTTTGGAGAATAGCTTGACTCCCTCTTCTTTGGGGCAACCCCTGAGATTGTTGTAAAGTGGTATTAACACTTCACGTGATCTTGATTCTATCCCTCTGTTCATGCAGCCTAGCACTGTGTTGGCTTTTTTGGCAGCTGCAGCACACGGCTGGCTCCTATTTAAGTGATTGTCCACTAGGACTCCGAGATCCCTCTCACAGTTATTACTATTGAGCAAGGTACCACCTATGCTGTACTTGTGCATTTGATCCGGGGTGCCTGCATGTCCTTGGATGTTGTCCCTTCATCCCTTGTTGTATTTCCTTGTTTTTGAGAGATGAGACTGTGAGAAGGTTGGAAGGAGGAAGGAAGAAGAAGAGAGAACCCAAGCTATGTTGACATTCCTAAGCTCCACTTTTTGTGTTGAGCAGAAAGATGGAGATCTGAGGAAGCAGAAAGTCCCACGAGTGGTGCATTGGAGCAGATGTCTCCGGCAAATGATTTCCAGCGTCCTGTTTGGCTACTACATTTGAGCAAATTTCATTCCTTCTTGGAATCATTGTTTGGCCTTGCTTTTTCAAGTGCATCAGTCATCCTTCCAACTCTACGGCCAATTTCCGGTGCCGTGATTACAGTTCTCAGCTCGGTACATT